GAGCGCGGACGCCAGGGAAACCTGCACGCGGATCCCGACCCTTCCTGCTCCTCCGCGCAGGGCCGGCGCGGAAAGCCCCGCTTACCTGCGTGCCTTCTTAACGGGCTCTGAAGTCGGACGGACGCCCTTCTTCCGGACGCTCTGACCAACTCATGTGGACAGGTTTTGGCAAAAATTCACTTATCCCTCTGTGTGTGGGGGCAAATGGAGCACAGAATCGGAGGCTTTGACTGCACGTAGGATGCACGGAGCGGTGACGGTTAACTAGCGCTGCTTTTCACTTGGAGCTGGGGGTCGTTAACGTGGCTCTTTGGAAACAAGCTGTTGTTATTGGGTACTTGGGGTGTTAGAATGGGGTGCAGTTTAGGCAGCGCCACCAGCCGCTTGGGCTTCCCGTGATGACGGGGCTGGACACACAGTGGCCTCACCCACGCCTAGCTAGGGGCAGCTGTTTGGTACCCAGGCTGAATTCCAGGAACCAGCAAGAAGGGATTTCAGATTGGCCCAGCATTTTAGCAGAAAGCGGTGGATGTAACTTCTGTTTTCTCCAAGCAGAGATCCAGGTGCCACTTCAGGGCAGAAACCTTCAGGCCAAGCGGGGGTGGGAGGAGGGGGCCCTCTCCAGGGTCCCCCCTACTTCCTGCGTACCTGCGTTTCTCTTACATAATCTTCTGATGTGTGCAGAGTTTTAAAATTCCCGGTTTATCACCTACACTTCTAAACGACAGTGAGGACAGCTGAGATGTGTTAGACGACTTTTTTTGTGGGGCAGGGTACATTGTTGGAAGTTTCGTGCCTGTGGATGGAGCCTTCCGCTGTTCACGCAGGATTTTATCTTCCGTGTCCCGGTTTCTTCTCACTGGAGCCTGTGTGCGCCTTAGATAACTATTTATTTAAACCTGTTTCCTCCAGTTTCACCTTTTCTGCGGTTCAGGCAGCCGACTACGAAAGCACAGTGGGTCACATGTCCCGTTACTGGTTGTTCCCTTCGCCCTTTGTCCTCCGTGGAAATACTTAGCCCACCGACTCTACCCTCTCCGCCTTTCGTCGCCTGCCTCCGTTCCCGGCTCTGCGCTCCCTCCTCTGCACTCTCCACCCTGCCGCTCTCTGCAGCTCCTTTCCATCTGCTGTCTGCTTCACAGCCGGGCAAGTAACCTTGCCCGATTGCTCACCGGGGGAGGCCCTTTGCCCCCTTTCCACTTCAGAACCCCCTTCTTCCATCTTTCTAGGCTCCTCCCCGCAAATCTGAGTCTCGAAGATGACCCGGAGTTTTCGGGATGTCAAACTACGTAAATTGATAGAGGTCCCAATCAAAGGTTTAACAGGGTCTCAAAAGACTATTCGAATCTTAGGGCAAAACCAATGTCATAAAATTTAACTTTACAAGTCTAAAACAGTATGATGTAGTAGGACAAGCTCAAGCTTTAGATTTAGGCAGGCCTTGGTTTATATACAAACTCAAATTACTGTCTTCACTATCTTTTAAATCAGCTGTTAGGGATTAAAATATGGGCTGCGTGAGGATGTGGCCAAGGGAATTACTTTATTATTCCAGTATAATTCATGTTAGTTTAGTTCCCTCGCCTTCCACAAAGTGAAGACCCACTGACTTCTCTATTGCTACGTGTTACTGTTTTTTGTTGTTGTGTTTTTGAGACAGGGTCTTGCTATGTAGTTGAGGCTGGCCTTGAATTCACTATGTAGCTCAGGCTGGTCTCAAACGCGCAGTGATCCTCCTGCCACAGCCTCCAGAGTAGCTGGCACCGTAGATATGTACTATGGCAACTGCCTCAGATTTTTTAAATATACATAATTTTATTACGGAATTTTATTTTCAAATTTTTTTGGACAAGGTCTGGTCATGAGTTCAAGGCTGTCCTTGAACTCATGTGTAGCCCAGGCTGGCCTCAACTCCTGGCAGTTCTGCCTCAGCCTTCCAAGTGCTGGGATTACGAGTGTGTACCACCATGCCCAGTGTATTACAGATTTTAGAAAGCATATAAAGTGCATTGTCCTCAAAAACCCAAAATGTATTGCTGGTGCTAATTCTAATTCCTACAACTTCGTTGTGCTACCACATGAGTGAAAGAACTATTTAAACGTGTAGGAGCATTCCCATAAGAAGCTTTAAAAACTGACC